GGCGTTCGGCGAGCGCATTGCGTGTGGCAAATCACCTACAAAGAAGGAAGCGATTGCGCTTGCATGTATGCATGCCGAGCTCATCATCGATGCACTAGGACTTGCATTGTATCCTTCTGACAAGGAGAAGCAAGAGACTCATGCGGATGAGTGTCGAAAGGTAAATCGCTGGTGCAGCGGGCCCTGTGGGTATGAATATCACTTCACGAAGCCGTCTCCACCGCCCCTTCAGCTTGTTAAGGAAAGTTCTGTGAAGACGGCAGCCGAGGTGGACTCTGCGGCCTCTCTGGAATCTGTTCTCCTGAGTCACGCTAAGGCAATTGAGAAATTTGAAAACGTCACGGAGCTGCAAAGAATTGATCCAGCTGCCCACCACATTTTTGTGAGTTACATGGCGCAATATCGGGAAGACGCGAAGGAAGTGGGTTCCCTATTTTTTGTGGAGAGCCTTGGTGTGAAGGGCCACGAGGTTTATCGGGCAACGGTAACAGTCCCTGTTCCGTTCGTGGCGGGTACAACGGCATCTACAGGGTCGGCAAGTGTTCATGATGGTGATGATGTCGCCGTGTCATCCTTTGTGGCCATTGGAATTGGTACATCAGAGATGGAGGCTGAAACCACCGCCTCCATGCATGCCCTCAGTGTGCTCAAATCACTTGATCGCCCGCTGTTGGGAAGTTCAACCGTCGGCCGAGAGAAGTTCCAGCAGCGTAATCTTACCCGTGATACAGTCATTCCGCCGCCCTACCGCTATGTTGTGGCTCATCTCGGCCGCATCGTGGTTCCAGGGCTCTCGCCAGCAAGAAACATTGGTGGTTTACCGCTGGCTGCGCGGCAGCGTGGTTTTTCGTCAGAGTACCATGAGGCGCGGATTCAAGGCGCACGAGCGGGATTGCCAAAGAGTGACTGGTCGTTGGATGCCGATGCGGAAGGATATATCATTCAAAACCCAAGCGTTAACGTGCAAGAGACTCGAAATTACGTCCACACACTTCCCTCGGTCCGCCAGGCGGATCGCTTTGCGCTAGTCCGATTGAGGGACTACTTGGAGCGCCATGGGAAGCGGTTGGAGGCCGCTGTGACGAGCTCTATGCTTGAGACGGATGAAGGACTGAAACGATGGGTGAAAAAAGTTGTGCTTCCGGTCCCGGAGGCATTTGGTCACGTTGTGGCACACGGGGAGGCTTACACGGAGGAGGAGGCTCTCGTTATGTGCGCTGTGCATGCCGAACTTCTTCTTGACGAACTCGGAATTGCGCTTTACGATCTTCAAGCTTTGCAGGAAAGGCACTGCGATGCCGCCGGAATGCTCGGTCGTTGGGCGCCGTACGAGACGCACTCCACGCGAAGGGCTGTGCCTACTCCTCCACCGGTGCGAAAGGAGCACGCGGACTCGTGCCTGTGGGCGCGCCTGTCAAAGGAGACAAGGAAGGAGGGCACAGCACCCTGTGGCGAGGGTATAAAGCAAACAGTGTCATCAACTCATCCACCGGATGGGAATTATAAGGCAGCAGACGGAGAGAATCACACGGATGCCACGGCAACGAGAAAAGCAGAAGTCGTTTCGCCTTCCCCAGGAGTGACGGACGACGCACTTTTCGACTTGGCGGGATTAGTTTTTGTTCACCCCTCTGAATTCTTTCGCCATGCACCACGTTTGCTTGAAAGTTACTGTGGACGTCAAGGGGTAGATATTTCTCGCTGTATGCGGCAATATAACGTCTGCAATCCCCTTTACGGCTTTGTTCATCGAGCCATTATGGAAATACCGGTGCCCCCGCAATTTGGCCGACGCTACGCCTTGGGATGTGCTTTAACAAAGAAAGATGCCTTTTTTTTATGTTGCATGCACGCTGTTTATGTTCTCGGAGAACTGGGGATACCTATTTACATTGGGCCGAAACAGGCAGAGTATGCGGCTATCGCGAGGTCAAAAGGACGCCATGCCCCAAATCCTGGTGATCCGTTGAGACCCCCGAATACGAATTCACCGCCAGGCTTAAAAAGTCTTCCAGACATGCACATGGAGAAGCCGCCGTTGCCGAGACCCCCAAATCGTAGAGAATGCCACAAGTCACGCGTATGGCAAGGTTACGTGACGGCGTGCCGTGGATACATAAAGAAGATGAAGGAACAGGTTGTATGGGATGCTCTTTTTACTAAGGGGAAAGCGCCAAGAAGTGGTGTGGATCTAGAGGATAATGGCCTTGACGTCGTCGAAGCCCTGCCACTCTTCACGAACGTCAAGTCTAGGTTGCCACAAAAGTGTGCTGCTGCCCGACTACCGGCACCGCCGCCCTTGTCATTTCGCTTTGAAGTCTACGGCCGACCCCCACACCGACGTTATTTGGTTGAGCAGCCAGTTCTTGGCACTCCGTTTGTGGCTCGTGGAATGGGTGAGGAAGGACAAGAGGCCGTGACGCGGGCGGCGATGCACTACGAATACATTTTGGGGATAATCAGTGGCACAGTGCAGGGGAATTCAGAAACAGGGAACTTTTTGAGGAACCGGCATGGGGATCTATTTGATCCCACTCTTCGCGATTTTACACCACGTGGAAAGTTGGCCAACATGGCACTCCACTCAACGTTACGAGCCCCATTTTGCCACTACGTCTGACACT